TCACCGCACATTGTATATATTATTTTATAGTTAATAAATAATTTTACATTATTTAACACCACCCTATCTCTACAATAATTATTTAATAATATGAAATAAAAAAGAAAAGAGGTATATTATACGGAATAAAAGATATGGTGAAGTAAATCTCTTCGGGATACCAGTTCCGGCGGTCTTCGTTGAAACAGATGTTTGAGTACTTCCTGTTGATCCAGATAGAGACCATCGCGGCTCTACTACCTACTACGTCTGCGATGAACACTGAGAAAGGGGTTTAATCGAAGTGAGCGGCTTATAAGAGCGCGGACGGTCGAATGCTTCATTCAGTTGAGCCAACGTGATCCAAGGCAAACGATTCCCCGGTGTTCATCTGACGATTCACTTGCTTATCGTTTACCTATTTCTCCAAACGCCGATCAAAGTCGCGCCACAGTGTCTCTCCGTCGGTTCTCTCTTTCGTGAATGAACACAGTGAAACCCTGAAAATAGCCCAAAACTAATCTCCTTCCTCTATTTCGTGAGTGAGTGAGCAAGAATAAAATTGGTTCAACGAATGTCACTGTGCCTTGTGAATATTAGACTGTTTCGAGGAATATCGCACTATCGTACATACTACACCATGCTAGCAGTATATTATACCTTCCTAAAGCTGAAGAAGTGAACAACTGAAGGATACAGCTAATATCGACGAAGACCTTGTCACCTTTGTAACACAAATAGGCTCCTCTCTACCAAAGCGAACGAAATTCCTATGAAGAAGAATAGAACGGAGTACCAGAAAGTATTCCAGTCACTCGTTTCAAAACTCGTGTTCGTGAAGTGCTAGTAACGGAAACGTCACAAACAACTTTCACCTTGTAATAGGAATATTCCACTCTTGGACAAGGAAAATACGCTAGAGTCAGGTTAGGAATCTTCCAGGTGTACTCGCGAAGGCTGTCTGTTCATGGTCACACAAACATTGTTGTGTTTAGGTCTACTCCAAACGTAGCCTAAGTTAGTAGTCCGTCCTAAGCTCTTCGATCCTAACTTCTCGGAGAATAGTCGGATTAAACGAGTGCAATGTCATCGTTCCAGGAACACCTTGTGAAAGAGTGTCTAGACGAAACCGGTTTCCAGCTCCTCATCGACCTATAATTATCTGAGCTAAACACATTTGGCGACTGTTTGGATAATTATTAAACCCATTACCTGTGAAACTCGTGCAGCTTGCGTAACCCGCGATCCACATCTTTAAAATCATTTTCGCGTTACAATTTCTCGAAAATCGAGGTTGGTATTCTCGATAGATGTCGAAGCTAGCTGCCAAACTACGTGTCGGATTATCATCGAAAGAAACGACAAAAGTGGAAAAATTGAGCGTTTCGAAACAGTCGAGCAACGTGTTAATCAAGGTCGTAATCGCTATGAAGAAATGAGGGTCATGGGATTATCATGGTGACAAAGCCAAAATGAACTTCGTGTTTGCTGATGGAGATTGGGAAAGCTTGTAATTGAATTCGACTCGTGATAGGAATTCAAGTTTAAGTGACAATTATTTTTAAAGACTAGGATTTATGATCCAAGTGTGAAAGCTATCGCAAGAGTTGTTTGGTTTGGTATTAAGAAGAGAAAACAAGGGATAGCGAGAAACGTGGAAGACGACGGTTAAAGACCACGCAGCGTGAGTTCAATAAACTTACATTTCGTTCAGTGATTCGAGTTGGCGGTTCTAAACAAACGCGTGTATTTAAGCGGGATAGGGGGCGCGCTCATAGGCCTCAGATTTGCTATTAGGTTTATTGGCTCGAGCGATAGACAGAGGGAGTCACTTGTCATTTTCAATTTAAAAGTATACGTTTGCATTTTGAAAAAGGATATTTAGGATCGTACGTGTTTTCCTTGTCAATTTGCAAAATAAATTTGAAATTATTTTATTCCTATCTTAAAACTTTTCGTCGCAGATACTATAGTCGATGAAATGCAAGATAATATCTGGTGACTTGGCATGTACATCAAATGTTTTTATTAGGTAGATTAGCTCGAAGACTTATTAAGAAGACTTATTAAGAATCTTATAAGAAGATTTCTTGTTTGGTATAGTTGATTCGAAATTG